CCAGCATTTAGCCTTGCTTTTGAAGTAGAAGATGACAAAGGCCATCTTGTTTATGTCTGATCTGAGATATATAGTGTACACCTCAAAGTATTGTTCATAATTGATCAGGAACTGATCAATATCATCTGATATGCCCTTAAAGAGTCATGATATACAGAGGAGATTGGATTTGCATTAAAGCATAGCAGTATTCTGAGATAATGTGACTATAGGATTAGAGTATTCATTGAAGGGAGGGTGCTTCCATTTGGCCAGTGGTCCTGAGAGTGAATGCAGGGATCCATCATCAGCTACTGGACTTTCTTCTGGATGTGCCTTCTTCTGTACAATGCATCTGTTTCAGATCATAAATCCAAGTCATATGGATTCAGAATCATCATCTTCTGCTGTTTTATCTGCCAAGTTTTGTCCTGTGCTAGTGAGTAGTCAGCTCCTATAGCCAGTCTAAGAGTTTCAGAATCTGATGGGTTGTAGAGATTCTTGAGACTTAGGCCAACTGATCTAGATAGCAGCTTCTCAGCTAGCTATCATGATATGTGAGGGTCAGCTGCTGATGATTCAAACTGAGAGGACAATGTATTCAGCCCATCTTAGTGATATTAATGGTGTGTTCAGCATCAGTTGAATCTCATATTAATAAGACAGCAAGGCCTTCAACTGATCTTCAGAATGTATCCTGTTATAAATATAGATTGCATAGTCAGTAGCCATGTATTGCAATAAATGTCCTTTCTCTTCATCATCTGTGTTTAGATACCTCCTTCCTAGTAGCATCATTAGCCAACTAATGTTCTTCCATAGTGAGGCCATCTCCTCCTAGTACAGCTCCTTAAATTTCTTCTGTCGATTTTAGTTTATTTCTTCTTTAAGCATCTTCTCATCAGTGTTCTGGAACCAGGTGTTAATCTCATTAGAGACATCCTCCTCATCCTCATCATCCACCTTGCTCTCCTCAAGGTAGTCAGTAGACAGATTGTAGATAGATAGCTCAGAGGCTCATACTATTGCTGAGGAGCTTCCTGTTAGTTTGAGTTTGAGTAGTGATACTGATGGTTCAAGTAAAAGGCTGCCAGCTAAGTTGAAAGAGTCCAGCTCTGCCAGCCTTCTAGTTCCTTCACCACACACTCTCTCTCTCCACTCCCTCACTATATCAGTAGAAGTCACCATAGAACTCATCATTGAGGAAAAGAGCAGCAATATATCTATGTAAGAATCATTGGAGGGCTCATTCAGAGACTCTGATCTCAGGAGGAATCTGAACCCCATACCTGTTGAAGATAGAACTAGCATCAAAAAAGAGGGAGTTGTTGCTTCTGGTACTTTCTTCATAGGTGAGGGGTGAGGACTCATAATCATCATCAAAATTTCTGACCTCATCTGCAGTGAGGATCTGAGCATCAGCCTAGCAGTCAGCAGACTATGGACTGTTCTCATTGTCTGATCCCCACTCTCAGAAACTGCTGTTGCTGCTGTTAATAGGGCTAGAGGGCAGAGAGTTAGCAAGCCTGATTTGCTGGGCCTGCTCAGCAGTTAATGTCAGGAATGTTCCTGCATCTTCTTAGTAGTATAAATCTCCTTTTCCTCCTTCATATAATCCATAGTGTTCAAGAGGGGCTGAGCCCCACTCCACTGCTTGCTGCTCTCTGGCCTGCTGTCTGTACTGGGCATTGTAGTATGCTTTGTCAGCTTCCTGCTTGAGACAGTCAGCCTCCTTATCAGCTTCTTGCTCAAGACACTCCTGCTTCTTCTCAGAGAGGTCATAGCCTTCTCTTTCCTACTGCTCAACCTCCATTCTTGTGGCATAGTGGCCACCAGTTTCTTCCAAGTGGCTGGAGGTTGAGGGAAAAGGACTAGAGGTCAAGGGAATGGGACTTTCATGAGGGATGATATATCTGGAGCCTCTTTCTGCAAGTCTTACAACTTCATTAATGGAGTCTCTGGCATGGTCTCTAATGCTGAGCTCATAAGAAGTGGTAGAAGGGTCAGGGGATGGTGACTCCTCAAAGAAGTCATTAGAGAGGTCTTCATCTTTGTAGTTAGAGACTGCAGAGAGGTGCAGCAGGACTCAGGGGTTCCTGAACCCTGTGTTTTGATGCTCACTGCATCTGCTAGTTGTTTGAGAGGATCCATCTGCTGATTGGGGTTCTTCTTCTTCCTCAGCACATCTTTCATTCATGTGACTAAGTCCAGCCTCAGATATAGTTCCAAACATAGGCTGAAAGGAGGCTCAGGCAGAGGGAGAGATATCATAGAGGGGGTGATTGAGGGTGACATTGCATAGAATCTGTTAAATCTATCTAAAGGACTGATAGTGTCTGACTATCCAAGCAGTAACTGATTGATGTCCATAGTAAAGTTGAATGATCACAAACAAATCAAGAAGTGTTCCAATGATGAAAGCTAATAGTTTAAAGAAGTCATCAGTAAGATTGGTAGTTGTAATATTAATAGCAGGCATTCAGTTTTCTTCACTTATAATGAGCATAAGAAAAGGGAAATAGAAGTCTCAAACTCATTGTTAGGCCCAGATGACATATGACTATGACCACATGATAAACAAGTACTGTATTGTATTTGTACAATCACACTTGAGTTTACTATATATAAAAGATAGTATTATACCTCAAAGTCAATGCTTTAGTTGACTTGAGATAGAATGGTAGAATTAAGAATAGTTTAAGACTAGAAATACATGGCACTGCCTACACTACTTATATACCATTTGTCTGCTAGATAAATAGAGTACTGCTAATTGTGAATGTCTGTGTTATAGTGTCTATTGTCCTAGAGCATCATAGTTACCTACAAAAGGGAGATTGTCTTATTGTCAGGGTGTCACTATGTGTTATAGGACAATAGTTGTTGTACTGACCAAGATTGTCCCATGGTCCTAAGCACTGACCTAGGCACTCTGACTAAGCATAAATAGGGGTGAAAAGTAAAGAAAATAGTAAAAATCATAACATTAATCATATACAAATCTCTACTCAATATCTCTGTGAATTTTTCTTCACTGTCTGGCCTCATAAAGCTAACTTTTTCCTTCACATATATTACAGCTCAACCATCTTTGTCAAGCCTCAACACTGAAATTAAGTTGGCTGATATATCTGGACAATGTAATGTCTTGTTCAGCACTATAACATTGTTTTTCTCAGTTGTAAAGACAACTCTCTCAGTTCCAGCAATTCACAGGTTCATGCCAGCCTTTAAGGACTCTCCAGCATAGTTTTCAAGTGGGATATAGTTCAAAAAAGTGTTTCTCTGTTTGATGAAGTGCATAGTCACACTAGAATCACTAAATAACTTTAATAGATTTAACTCATTCATTTCTTTAGCTATTCAAATTCTTTCAGATCCTTTCAACATTTTTTTTGTTAGCATGAAGTGCATAGATGGAGGTTGAGATGCTTATATCTGGGTCTATAATGACCATAGACTGTGCAAGATGCACCAATGATGCTGGTAGTAGTATATCACATTTTTCTTTCTACTAAGAAGGATATTGACCCTGTTTTCCTCCCCTGATTTTCCAGCACTCCTTAATAGTATGGCCTATGCTTTTGCAATTCTCATTTGCCTCATGGAAGTGTCTATTAGATGGTTTTTCATGATGAGTAGTAGTGTTTATGCTCTGGATTTATTGGGTGAGTATTACAATTGATGCATGGAGTGCTTGGTTTGATAAGTTTATCAAGGTCAAGTTCATGGTCTGGTCATCTCATCTGCTTACACAATCTTCATATGCAGCAAATCATGCAATTATCTTGACAATATCTGACTTGCCATGCAGGATACTAATGACTGGATTCTAAGACTCTAGGAATAAGTCTATCAATATTGTCACAAAAGTGTCTGTTTTGATTACTGCTCCAGCATCATTCACTTCCTTTAGTAAGCATCTTATCTTTTTGACATGTCCATCATCTCCTGTCACCTTTTTCCCACCTTGGAACTTCATTGCTTGTAGAATATCCTCTTGTCTCTTTCAAATAATGTCAGAGTGAGCTCCATACTCCTTCTGCAATTTTGTCTAGGCTTCATGTGATTTTTCTCTGGGGTCAAGGCCAAACCCAAATGGGTCAGTGATGTTTTGAATGATTGAAGAGAGAGTCATGCTCTCACATTGGGCATATTCATGATCAAGGGGATTAAGGCTCATTAGGCCAGTTGCAGGCAATAAAATCAAGCTGGATGCTGTTGGTGATACCTTATTTTCCCAATAATTAACCAGGCCATGTGGTCCTCCTTCAGCTATCATCAATATCTCCCATGATGCCCAGTTCTCTCCATTAAATTTCTCTTCTGCTTCAAGCTTGAATGGTAAGACTGATGAGTTCATTGTCATAGATATTCTTTCTTGATGTTGAAAATTTTATAGAGGTCCAATAGTTTTCAAATTTTGAGCAATGTTATACAAGGGCCACAATCTATGGTCTCAAGCTTTCACTTTTATGGTTTTGAGTCTTCAAGGTATTTTGAGTGCAGTTGTTAGGATCAGAATCTGAGGTTTGAGCACAAAAGGGCTGCAGAACCTGTTAATAAACAACTAACTACGTATTGTAAGTAATATTTCAATCAGTAAAGTAAGAAAGACATACCTCAGTCTCCACTCGAATATGTGTAGAAGACTGAGGTATGTCGAAGGAAAAAAAATCTTTATGTACTAGCGATCGCACTACTGAATATACCTAAGAATAACCATCATCCGAATAACCTGATAGAGGGTGTCAACTGGTGCTCTCGACATTCTCCCTCGCAGAAAGACAGCAGAGAACATAAAAATAGCCCAACAAGGAGTGCTAGAATCATTCAGGGTTAAGCCTACTGACGCCGCATTATAGAAGTCTCTGCAACATAGGGATACAGACCACAACACAAGATACCTTCTGTGGATGACGATGCATGATGCCTACAGGATAGGTACAAAATGGTTGCATTTCGGACCCCAATACCATGAATGAGGACACTGCAAACACTGCAAACACTGTAATAATGAACTGGAAAACATGGTACATATAATGACATCGTGCTCATCTTCGGGACAAAAAGAAGTCTGGGAACTCACCAAATTGCTCCTAAACAAATGCAAGATACCATGGCAATCTCTGGACATGGCCAAGATCCTATCATGTGCCATCTCAGTTTTCAAAGCCTCCAATGGGAAGAGAGACAGCGGAAAAGAACGATTCTACCAATTAGTAATCTCCTCATCAGCTCAAGTGATCTGGAATGCTCAGTGCTGTTGTAAGTAGAGAGCAGAGTAATGTAACAGAGAACTAGAATTAGCCTCTCGAGAGAGAAACGTTCTACTTAAATACATTTCATATTACTTTGAGATCTTTCTATGAGATACTAAATAAGTCCAGATCATGATCCAAGTCAGCTGCTACTGACTGGCATCATATCTTCAAGTACATTCTTGTACTTGCTCAGGATTGCTATCCCAACACTCCCCCTCAATTCCGAGTTCCTAGAATACCTGCAGATAAATACTCATGTAATGGTCTTGGTAGGCCTTTAGTGAATATATCCACTAAGTTCTCTTCTGATGCACAGTGCTGAACTTTGACTTCATTTGAAGCTATACGCTCATGAACAAAGTGGTGCTGTATGTCTATATGCTTTGATCAAGCATGGAATATAGGGTTCTTGGCGAATTTGATTGCTGATTGATTGTCGATGAAAATAGTCGTCACTTCATAAGGTGACAATTCTAATTCGGTTAAGAGTGCTCATAGCCAAATTATTTCCCAGGTTGTGTGTGCAAAGGCCATATATTCTGCTTCCATAGTGGATAAGGCTACAGTGGGCTGTTTCTTTAAACTCCAAGTAACAGCTCCCTCTGCATAGGTACAGATATAATCAGATGTTGATCTTCTATCTGTTCTGTCTTCTCCCCAGTCTGAGTCTGAATAAGGTATCAGCTCATCCATAGTCCCCCCATATGTGATTCCAAAGTCTAGAGTTTCCTTCAGATAGCGGAAAACTCGCTTCAAGGCTGTGACATGCTCAGCAGCCGAATTCTGCACATACTTGCTTAATTCGGTGACAGCATGTGCAATGTCGGGCTGGGATCCATTGGCTGCATACATTAGTGATCTGGCACCAGTATGGTAATATTGCCTGGTGGCTGTGTCAACACCTCGTGAGTCTTCTGTCAGAATTTTCTCTAGCTGTACATTCGGGTCTATAGGCATTTTGACCGGTTTGCAGTCATTCATGCCCATTC